TCAGGTGGTGTGCATTGCACTTTTTAAGTGTATTTTTTAAGAAAGGAAAGTACTTTTGTATCACAGTATGGTAGGAGGTGGTCTAATGATGCCTGCCTCTATAAAGTATTTCACAGTTTACCAAACATTTTTATATACATTCTCTGACAGGCTCTTTTTTAAAACCCTGTTATACATTCTTGCATGTCATTTTTGTTTCCCCTTTACAGATGTGGATCCCAGGCCTTATAAATATTAGAACAATATGACTTACGACCAAATAGCTATTAATTGACAGAGTTGGGACTTCTTTAGCCTAGTTAATTTGTTTAGTTTTTCTCAGGCCACCTTATGTTCGAGAGTCAGAGAAAGAGAGCACTGAGTTTCTAGTCCTAAATTCACTATTTATTCAGTGTTTCTATCACATTAGAAAGTTCCTGTACTTTCTTTTTTTTAATATGTCCCTATCTCAGTTGGAAGTACTAAAATTGGCCCACATTTATGTCCTGTAGTTACAATGGACAGAAAATCAGACTGTGGCAAAAACCATTAATATAAAAATGATTTAGGAATATCTAATTTAAAATTTTTCTGATTGTGAGGTATTCTAGGTTTTCTTATAAACTGAAAATCAATACTGATGGTATCAGTTTCAGTTCATAGATTATACTCCATTTCATTTCTTATATTTTATAGGTTTTGGCTCATCTTTTGGATATGGTTTTCTATAGTGATGAAAAGGAGCGGGTTATTCCTTTACTTGTAAATATTATGCATTATGTTGTGCCCTACCTCCGAAATCACAGGTACTGCTTATTATTTAAATGGATTTTTAAATTCATTCATAGCCTGTTAGAAACAAATTCTGTTTCCTTATTGCCATTTCTGTAATTATCATAAAATGACATTATTTTTACCTTGAATTATGATTGGTTAAAAAACGTATTCATATATTATTTCTCTTATGGTGCTTTTTATTTCATGTCTTCACGTCTTTGTCTTAGGTAAATATGAACATTTGTGTATAACTTAATATGATGATCAACGTTAGAACATATAGCTTAAGGCGGTTTTTCTTCCTTATAGTGCACATAATGCCCCTAGTTATCGAGCCTGTGTTCAGTTGCTCAGCAGTCTTAGTGGATATCAGTACACACGGAGAGCTTGGAAAAAAGAAGCCTTCGACCTCTTTATGGATCCCAGTTTCTTTCAGATGGATGCCTCCTGTGTTAATCAGTAAGTTTCCCTCTTGCTTTTATTCAACATAATAATGCACCTCACAGTCTGTTGAAATCAAATACTGTCTTACAAAGTAGAACTCTGTTCTTTAACCGTAACAACAACAAAATTTAAATTACATATCACAATCTTAATCTCTTTCAGTTGGAGAGCAATTATGGACAATCTGATGACACATGATAAGACAACATTTAGAGATTTGATGAGTGAGTATTGTGGGATAATAGTCCAGACAGTGTCTTTCTTGTACATGATTCATTCTTACTATCTATTTTGCTCTTTTCTGGAAACTACTAAATTAGCTCTTTGTTAAGTTATACTTGGTACCCTATGGGAACATAATGTTAAAACTTACAGAGGATGACTTAGCAATAAATAACAAGTAAAACTATTTGTCCTTTTGGGGCAACTAGTGGAAGGAAGAGGCCATGTCTAATTTGACTCTAAATTGTTTCCCCAGCTCACAGCATTGTACCTGACATGTAACAGGCACTCAGTAATTATTGAATGAATGAGAGAGGTGATGAGACAGAGAAAGACAGTCAGTTGGATCCAACCTATCAGACAAATCATTCTAAATCTCTAGGGTTCAATTTATCTCCTCTGAAGAAGGGGGACAGAGACAAGAAGGTCCAAATCACCCTCCACCCCGCTTTCTACTCTATTTTGATTGGTTTTACACTTTAGGCTTCTTTTTAGTATTTCACTGAAAAAAGGTTTTCTTGATTTTTTTAAAAAAGCTCTAAAGTTACAAAACTGAATGAACTTAAATAACAGCGAAATTGTATGATTTTGTAAGATTTTGTGTAGATTCTTTAGCCAAAGCTACAGTTTTCTGATCTGGAAAAGCATTGTTTTTTTCTCTTTCCTCTTCACAGGGTTGTTTTAAGGTTCAAATTCATCCATTCAATAAACATTTATTAAAATACAACAATGAGCCAGGCATTGTGCTAACCTTAATCAAACTTTAAAAACTATTTCAGTGAGTAAGAAGTTGTAAAGGAAATAAAATAGGGTGACGTGTGATAGATTTTAAATAATAGCTAAAGGGCTCATATTTGAGGTGAAACTAAAGAACCCAACATGAAAAAGCCTAGAGACAGAATATTCTAGGCATAAGGCAACAAAAATTACAAAGGTCTGAGGGTGGGAGCAAGCTTGGTGAGTTCAAGGAACAGCAAGCAAGACAATGAGGCTGCAGCAGAGTGAGTTGGGGTGAGTAACATGACATGAGGAAGGAGAGAAAG